TTTCGGGGTTAATTACATATTTGATATTTAATTAAAATATAATAAAATTTTCGATGTGATGTTTAAAATTTAAAAATCGTTATTAAATGTTTAAATTTACTTTCTTCCAATAATATTAGGATAGACAAAACTACTTGTTAATCAAATATCTGATATGTTTAAAAACAAGTAATAAAAAATGTCGTATGACACAATTTTATTGAATTTCTTAGCATGTCTTATTTGATTAATTATAATAATTTCATGTGCAAATTAATTGACTGAAAAAACATTTATATTATAAAATAAATAAATAAAAGCTTAAAAATAAGAAGCGAAGATAAAAAAAGATGAGGATCATCTAATTAAGTTGAGATTCACTCATAAATATGAGCTTACCCATAATTTATGATGATAGATACGATATACGAGTGAAGCTTCTTTGTGCACACTTCACTGAAACCCTTGATTTTTTCATTTTTCAAAACTCTTTTTTTTTTTTAATCCTTTTTGGCAATATTACATCTCAAGTGAGCTCACGTGTTTCTCGATTTTGATCAACTCAAAACAAAAAATATTAAAAAGTTTTAGAAAAAAAAATAATTCCAAAATAATATATTGTTCTCTTCTATAAGCGTGCGGGCATCATGTGCTCAAAGTGTTGAAAGAGTAACACATTGTGTAGCATCAGAAAGAAGGTTCACTACCGAACGTTTACCAAATTCAGTTTGACAAATTAATTATTATGGATCTTAGAGTATTTTCAAAGTTTGACAAATTATTCGAAATAAATTGGTTGATTTTAATCCACAAATTATTAAAAATGTTTTAAATTCATTAATTCTGTCAGCTACATGTATGCTGCTAAAATACCATAAAATTGACTATGCATTAAGATCGCGTGAACGTATATCCACTTGACAAAAAGAGATGGATTTTTTTTTTTTATTTTTGGATTGAAATTTATAATATTGTTATATGTGTTTCATTCGTGAGTAATTAAAATTAATGTCTGATTATTGGACAAAATAACATTACTTTATACTTTTAATGTTGTATTTAACCAGTCTTATATTGACTTGTTTACGCATTAATAATCTTATAAGTAAATTACTACTACTATATCTTAATGGGAGAAAAATGAAAGAAAGCCTACGGGACGCAGGGCATGCATTTTTGTCTCGAGACTTGACGACAGTTGGAGACCGGCCTTGGCCCAGGGGGTCCTACTGACACTGCCCTGTTGAAAAACTGGTGACCGGCGCCGTTTACGCCTTCTCTACGACCAAAGAGAGGCACGTGTGCTTTCCACCCCTATGTGGAGATGATGTGGCCTTTGAATGAAACAATAAATTTATTAATATTGTGGAGATTATGGCGAGAGAGGTGGTTTGTTTTTGTATTGGTAATGGAGTTGCTTTAATACCATACACTTTTTGGCCAATGTTGGTTTGGAATCCGAAATTGCTCTGAAAATGAGAGAAATTAAGACCCAATTTTTTAATTTCCAGTTTCCTTTTTGTACCCCAAATTTAGGGTTTTTGTTTAATTTGGTGGACGAAGAACATGCATGTTTCATTGGTTTTTTCTCCTTTTAATTTTATTTTATTCCCACCATTTGATGTTATGAGGTGGGAGAATAAATGGGTTTGGTTAAATGATTGGTTTTATAATTTCAAAAAAAAGAAAAGGAAAGCCGTTAAAAAGGGAGAATATTGAATCCTCCATAGTTGACCACGCTCGAAAAAAATGGTAATTATCAAAGCGATGATCACTTTTTTTTTACCAAAAAACTATGTAGTAATTCATAATTTTTCATTCCCTACTACTTGGCATGACTGGATTGTTCGTGATTTTTATCAAACCAATATCCCGATCCCAATGGTCTGTCTAATAAATTTTTGATACCCTAAATCAAATTGAAGAAGTCTCTCTTAAGCACTCCAATTTCAGTTAGAATGTGGCAGAAATGAATTGATTGGCCATCTGTCAATAATTAGAGTTCAATTTCTTACAATCACAGGTAAAAAAAAGATAGGCCATCTTGTGGGGAAAACGTAATGGCTTCCATGAGAGCTTTTCATAATTTATGGAAAATCAATGTTTAAGGTTAATCATTTATATATAATTAACCAAACTACAACAGTGTACCTAAACTCTTAAAACAGGATTTCTGCAAGCCAACCAGAGAATAAACTATAGATATCAACAATGATTTAATCTATGATTGAGAAATTGATTAACTATATATCTTTCATGGTTCATGGGGCACCCTGCTGCTCAGCTTTTACGTACTTTCCAACCCAATTGGCAAACTTCATTGCTCGACACCTAAACGTTCTCCAAAAAAGAAACTAAAGTTATTCATAGTGGAACTGTGGGTGTGTTTGTTTGGGGAAGTCGCCAGTTTGTGATTCTCAATCTTGTGCCTTGTCTTCGGTGGAGACAACCTTGAGTTTCATTCAAACTGAGATTAGGTTCAGTTATTAAAATTAATTGGACCTGATTTTCGGGGACCATGCTCTCCTCCACTCCTGCCCACGACCCATTTGCTGGAACTATAACTAATTTTTTAATCTTGAGCTGCAGAGTTTGGACTCATATTTTTGATGAATTGATGATTTCCATGGTTAAATAATATTAGACAAAAACCGACATGGGTCACTACGTTCTGATTTTTTAATAAAAAAATTTGTATTTTGAGGATAAAAAATTATTGCGGGGGTTGAAATTTAAATTTTAGATTTAATAGATGTTATCTTTAACTATACAAATCACTTTAGTTAAAGTAGATATAATATAAGTTCAATGAATGGGTTTTTTTCCCTTTAAAATAATTTTGAAGTCTGCATTCCTAGACATGGTTCCTCAGTTTCTTACTAGACTTTTATAGGGCTTCTTTCAATCTTTCTGGGTGTTGTGGCTGGTGAGTTGTGATATAGATATATTAAAATATTCACTGTACAGAATAATTTTATGAGCGAAATTACTCAATTGTGATTGCAAGGCATAAAAAAAGCTTCAAGTACATCTGAAACCATTTAATAAGTAGGAAACAGCACTAACAAGTTACAATTGGTACGGTTAAAACAGTTTCAATATTCATTTCATGAAAAAGAGGTTCTGGTAAATGTACTGAATATATCAGAAGAAAAGAGATCAGAAGATCAGAACAACCATATAATTAATCATTCTCTTCATTTATTTTTTCATATGATTTAAGTTGCAGCAGCTTTCCTCTATTGTTTCACTACTATATATGAGCTCAACTTTCAGTAGTAATGAGAAATGCACCAGTAGTGGACATTAATTAAACAAGTATGTGAATATGATGAGCAGAACTATAGAACTAGAATTGTTTTTCTCAATGCAAAAGCGGCACCCAAATTAAGTTGACTAAAAAAGGATTGGCATGGTGGAATGAATCATGTTCATGCTTGCCGCTGCCCCTGTTGGTGTTGGCTGTTGTTGCCGTTGAGAGGTTTTTCGAGGAAGATGAAGGAAAGCGACTCTTGTGGGGGTTCAATAGACAGGGCGTCATCAATGCTGCCGATATATTTGACTTCTTTGATTCATGAAACAATGGTTAATTACTAGTAATAGTAGCATATATATATGTTTAACTTACTGGTGAAAGTGGGAAGGATCACGAAAGAAGGATCTATGCTAATTTCTAAGTAAGTTGGTATTTGTGAAGTACGATACAATAAAAGAAACTTTTCCTAAACCCTAAAACCCTAAACATTACGTTTTATTTCCATTTCGATTTATTTATGAGAAACTATTCCTTCTTCTGGAGTATTTCTGGTCTATATGTACTTGTTGAACCCTAAACATCTTGTTTGGTGGCTGAATAAATCCTTATTACCACCAAAATACTGGCAAAGCAGGAGTTTGAAAAGATGTCGATCAGTCATCCCAGTAAAATACTTGTAACATACCAAATGATTCAAAATCAGATGTTCATAAACAATCCTGAAATCAGAAAGAAATTGGATGATCAATACAGGCATGATCATACTGAGCAGTAGTCTTCGATTGTAAAATCCATCTGTTTGGTTAGGTTTCGATGATTATGGAACATTGCAATCAAGAAATCTCGTATAAAGCAACAGATATTTTGCAGATAGGAGGTAGGAATTGCCCCTGGAAAGGCCTCGACTGAGCTTCAAGTCAAGTAACCAGCCCCAAATATAGATTTGCTGCTTTGCTATATGTGCACTACTAAACTAATATAAGTATTGAAAGCCTGAAATGAAGAAAATCTTATCAACTGTGAATGATCTGTATGTTGAAGAAAGATAAACAACAAAACCAAAAACAAAGCTAATACATATGATATAAGTAAACATGATTACTTTCAAAAACTTGCCGATCACGAAAAGAAAAAAAGGACGCTGGAGTTGGCATCTCCTATCTCCAAACCATTTCTCTAGCTAATGGGCTTAAAAGATAGAAAAACCTGAATCAAAAGCCCAAAGATTACAAGAGTAAACAAAGGTTTTTTTAGTAGACTTCAGTGGCCCTTTGCATCCTCCTCTCATGTGTTAATAGAAACAGAGGTTATTTTTATATATTTAAAATTTTCAAAAATTAAAAGCTCACTTCATTTGTATTAATATTTTTAACATGTAACATGTAAACCTAAAATTTAAATCTTAATATCTGAATTTTTTTTTTTTCAGATTACAACCTAATTTGTTAAAACCAAGAATTGAATAAACTAAAATTTTGTTTGGTAAAAAATGTATAAATCCATTAAATTATGAAATAAAAACTTAATATTTGAATTAACAAATTTAACATTTTTACCTATTTTCAGCGTCCCAATCAAACTTTACCTATTTTCATCATTCCTGTCAAATAAATACTTATTCCTACCAAACTTCACCGATTTCCATCATTTCTTACAGCCCTCGCTCGCACTCTAAAAGTGGTTTAACATAATTTATTTATAAGTTATTACTATTCTTCCAACAACAACCAAAAAGAAAGGGGGGGAAAGGGGGTGACGTTAAAGGTTAACTTGGGGTGAATAGTGAATATTTTCAATTTCAGGGAACAAGTTTCCCTCTTCCAAAGTTACCTTTATCCATAGAACAACAGAAAGCAACATTTGCATTTCTTCTTAACTAAGTGCATGTTGTGGACCTCCTTGGTCCATTTTAGGCATTGAAGCAACAGAACAAACATTCATACATAGAACTGAAAAAACCAAAATAATAATAATAAAAAAAAAAACATAGGGTCTTCCCCCGCACACACCAAAGCTCGTTTAGCCCATGGCATACTTCTGGGTCCAGCTCCTTGCAGTTGTCTCATACTTGTTCCTGTCTGTCTTGTACATGTGAGCAATCTCCGGCACCAATGGATCATCGGGATTTGGATCCGTCAGCAAAGAACATATCGATAGCAATACCTAAAAGATAAAAATCATTAAGTAAGTTTTAACCAATTAAAAAGATGAAACAGACAAGTTCCAAATGAAAAGGTTGATACTCCCAATTAAACCCAAAAGGCTTAATTACAGAGTGAGTTTTCATTTTAGGTATTGGGGGTGGATTCTGCCACTTTTGCTTTGCCTGAGATAGTCATCAGGTTTGGACTCAGGGATTCAAGTTTTAGGTTGATAGGTTTGTGTTAAGGTTGTTGACTTCTCAATTTGATTTGTATTAGGTTTTGGCCATGATGGGGGTCGGTCAATCAGGTTGGATTCATTTTTGAAACCATTGAATATCCAAATATATGAGAGAAGTTTCAAACAGGAATATCAGATATTTAAAGGACAATCACCTTAGAAATCGTTAATGCAGGACTCCATTGCTCCTTCAAGATGTCTAGGCAAATACTTCCATTGCTGTTAATATTGGGGTGGAATACCTTTGTTCTAAACGCCACCTGCAAAATCCATTATAATATGGAAAACATTAAAGAGAGACAGAAACAGAAGAGACGGAAGCAATACACACTCTATGCCAGTTCTATCTTTAATAATTATGTACTAAGCAACTTAAATTCTTACAAAACCATTAGTCAGAGCCAAATAAAAAAAATTCTACCAACCCGTAGCAACCTAATTTTTCATTTTAGAGGTTTTCTACCATTTCAAGCTTCTGAGTACATTTATATATATTAAAAGGACACCTAGTTTTCATGTAATTTTAATTTTTTAAGCTTTTAAGCCATGAGGTGGACCAGCATGTGGAAAGCAAGAAGCATTTCGAGTAACATGACAATTAAGGCTTCAATTATGCTCAACAAAGCATCAGTAACTCTTCAAGAGCAAATATTATCAACTACATCCATATGCAATGGAGTATGAAACAAGTAATCCAAAAAAGAATATCTACTAAAAGCACAATCCTTAATTTCCTCAAGAATTGATCAAAAGCAGTTGAGAGAGAGATGAAGGTTTGGGAGGTCTTTCAAATAATGTAACTATGCCACTGGATTATAGAGGCAGTTGTTTGACACAGAATAAAAGCGAATGTCCAAAGACTTAAAACATTGAACCAAAAGGGAAATTTTGCATGCACACAAATGTCAGAGTAAACAACCTGCCCAAATGGTAAACAGAAATTACATATAAAAAGTACCTTGGGAGGTTTAAAGGGATAATCCGGAGGAAAATGAATGGTCACTAGGAAAACACCCCCAGCATAAGGACTGTCTGGAGGACCCATGATTGTTGCCTGCCAATGAAACATGTCTTCAGCGACAGGACCTGCAACATTGTCAGATAAACAATAAGCAATATGTAAGTAATAAAGTTCAATGATACTCCTCAAGCACTTGTACATACAACCAATTGCCGAAAACATGAGTGAACATAAGAAAACATGTAAGATATTATCTTGCAAAACATAAAAACCATCATGCAGATAAAAGATTCAGTATGCAATATGTAATGACAAGGAAAACATTGAGGTAATCACTATTATTACATTTCTTAGCTACTGCAAAAGGCACATATAACAAAACAAACAGCTAACAAAAGCTTTGGAATCCCTCGAACGGGTAGGCCTAACAACCAGACAACAGAACCAGTTTAGCACTACAGTTCATCAACTTGATAAAAACTCCAGAAATGAAGACACTTGCAATCAACTATGGTCATAAGCTACATAACAATAAGGGTTTCCTTCCTACTTTACCCTACCATACCTATCTTGGACATATCAGATACAGAAACAGCCTCGGGGTCAGCTGACATGACAATGTGAATATCAAAGAATTCATCTTCTTTCCTCTTATTATAAGGCCAAAAGGGGAAAGAAAACATCCGTATGGGAAAATTTATCTTTTCCTTCCATTTCACTATTCTACCTTTGAAGTAGCAGACTTTGGAACAATAAATTCAGAACCAAACTAAAAGAGTTCAATCAATAAAGCCATCGCATGATGAAATGCTATTGTTATCACCAAAGTCTATGGTGTATTAAACGGTGTTAAACACCTTTGTCACCATCAACTGAAAACATATATACAGGCACAAGTGTCAAACATAACCTATAGTTTAGACATGTTATAGTCTATGACCAAATATGAAAAATGAGGACAACTTCCAGTTCAACAAACATTTGATTTATAAAAGCTTCATTTGAACATACTGAGATGCTAAAACGTTATTATGTATGCTCTTAATTTTTATAATTATATTGGTGATTTACTTTCGACGCTACAATTATATCAGTCTTTAAAAGAATAAAATTTGCAAAACAAAGATGATTATGCAGCAAAGACACCAACTCATGTTTCTTTTCCATATGTCGGCAGCAAACACAAAATTACAATAATTTCTAAATAATTACAAATTAATATTAATATTATTTTAAAAATTTCCAAAAATCATTGACAAGTATATTAAGCATATCTTTTTTAATCCTTGATTTAAATCCGAAACATCTATACGAATAAATCTATCGTTTTAGAGGAAGGTTAAAAAAACACATCAAATTTGAAAAAAAATAAAAAACAGCGAAAAAGGTGATCTTATATATATATATATATATATATATATATATTGCGCAATACCTGCACTGCAAGATGTTGGGGGATCCTTTTGTAAATCCTTCAATTCCTTCAAGATCCGCTTCGATGCCATCGCGAAACCTACGATGCATATGCCATAGATCAAAAAATTAAAACAAAGCAAATAAAAATAGAAAAAATTCAAATAAAAGAACAATTAAAAGCGATAAGCCGAAGAGATCAAACCTGAAAAGATGTATTTTGAATTTTTCTTTTTTTTGGTTTTGAAAGATCTTTGGGTGCGTAGGAGAGGAAAGACTAGATCGAAGAAAGATAGAAGAACAGAGAAAGAAACAAAAAATGAGGGGCTATTTATGATGGGGCGTGGTGGCGGTATTTTATAAGCGTGTGGACCGACTTCTGCTGAGCGTCTCTGATTGGGTTAATGTCATTCCGTGGTGGGTCCCAAGCTTTAGCGTTCTCTGTACGAAAATCACCCGATTTTCGGCGAAAGTGGCCGCCAAGAAAGCTTATTATTAAGGCTGTTTATTATTCTGATTTTCTGGGTTTTTTTAAATTAATTTTTTATTAAGTGGACTACCTCGTAGTTTAGTCTTCATAGTTCTTCGAGGAAAGGAAATCGAAATCGAAATCGGACCTTCAATCTTCCGACGTCGTTTAAGGCGTGGGTGAGGTGGGGGTGGGCGTGGCTTTCGGGTTCTTGATTCAGTGTTTGTGATTGGGTCCGTTGAAAGAGCGGGATGGTCATAAAATCCCAACGCTCAAACGCGGCTGTTAATGAGTTGGCTTTCTCTGGCCGTCCCGTTTTGGGTCAAAACCCGTGGATTTGTGTGGAAAAGACCCTGGCGGCCGGGCCCAATGATGAATTAACAATTAAGTTGACACATATGCCAGTGCAACACAATTTCATCATTAAATAATTTTTTGAGAAAATTTTATTATTTGATAATTAATAATAAATTAGTAAATGATTCCTAATATTTATAACTTAATTATAATAGATAATAGTCTCGGATTAGGTATTATTTATTGGTGTGAAGCTTCGACATGAAGATATTCTTGAAATAATAAAAAACTATAAAAGAGCAGTTAAATGCAAAGGCCAAAAATATTTTTTACATTTGTATTTCAATGCACAAATCATAGGCTTGAATGAGGAAGGTCAAAAAGAAAAAAAAGTAGAAGGTTAAGACAAGATAGAACCTGAGATAATAATGCATAGATGTTTATATTTATAGATGAGTGGCAGGAGACCAATATAAGCTAATAATAACGTGGCCAAGCTGATGTGACATTAAACGTATCAGATCAACTTGATATGTCAAGTTGACACACATGTTTGAATTACCTCTAGCTATTTACTATAGGCTCCTAATGAGGGAAAATATCATTATACCTTTTGGACCACTAAATGCCCCTAATATTTTATCCCCCCATCAAACAGTTTGAATATCAGACTGTTGTGTGTGCAATTAGTCCATTCCATACAAATCGATCAGGTGGAGAAAGATGACATCAGATTCGATCTCCTACAGTCGATGTTGGCATAGAGGTCAGCATCAAGGGACAATTGGTCTTAAATTATGGTTCTATTTAGTGTGAGTCTGATCTTACGTGTATGCTTTAGATTGAATGCATAGCTGACTTGAAAGTTGTCGAAGTGTCATTTATTCAGGGTGATCCGAGATCAAGATGGGAGTTTGTCTAGTTGATGTAAGACTTAGATGTTTTCTCTATAAGTTTGAATTTGAATCACTGTTTTGAATTTTGGTGGTGAATTGATCATTTATTCACCAGGTTAGTACGACATGAGGAGTTGTTAGGTGTATCAGGTCTGACCTAGGGAGTCGTTCGATCTAGCCAATGTGACTGAGTTGAGCAGTTGAGGTTGCATTAAATGAGGAGAGAGATAGTTTGAATGAAAAAGGTCAAAGTGAAGAAGGCAAAAAGACATCTTCCACTATCTTTTTGACACGTATACAATTTGGCCTATCTATCTGATCTAAAACACATTATATAAAGGATTGTTGGGGCTTTCATTTTTCACCTTTCTGCTTTCATTACTCTTTATCCAATCTAAATTTTTTTACCTCAAAAGCTTTTTTTCTTTTTGGCCTTATTGTTCTTTTCCTTTCATTCATTCTTTCTATTTTTTTTAGTACATTCTCTTTATTATGTTTTCTAGTTTTAGTTCTAAGGAGGTCAAAAATTTAAGGGCAGAACTTAGGTGAGATCAGCTCAGATGAAATGACAATGACCTAGTCTCACCAATTATAAAAGGTCAGGATTATCTAAAGATGGCATATTGGCTTAACTCCATGTCCAAGAAAAAGTAACAACAAAATGATAAGAATGCTCGAGCAAAAGGAAAACGGATCATGAGCACAGAAAAGCTATGTGCTTATATAACTTTAAATTAGAGAATCTACCTCTATCTTTTTTTTCTATCTTTCAATTCGATCCATCTTTTATGGTTGACCTTTTTTTTATTTTTGGTTGTTCCCTTTTTTAGAGTCCAGTCTCATCAACTTTTATTTTTTTATGCTCTCTCATCCATAAATGCTTCGATTATCACTTTTATTCTTTCTCGATCAATTCTTATTGACATCACCTCTTCTTTCGAAGGGTGTCCTCTTCCTTATTTTCCCTTAAGGTTGTGGTACTCTCAACCACTGCTCCATCTTGAAATCTTACTCACACTCAAAAGTTAGAGTCTTTTGACAATGAAATCTTTGATGATAAGAAGAGTTTCCAGAAGGAATGGGTACTCTTGCTAGAGAAGGTGATAGTGATAAGGAGAATATTTTGGAATAGGATGAGTTGACCAAGGTTGTTGTATATACTCTTTGTGACTTCAATATGATCTCTAAAGATGTGATGAGGGAATTAAAGGGCAAAGCTAATCCTGAAGACTACCCTAATATGTGTTTAGCTTATCACATCCATGCTCTGGTGATGAACTTTCGATTTCCCAAATAGGGGTATAGTATATTAGTGCCAAACTCCTCAAATCGGGTCATCAATAAACTGAAGCCTCATCGACTTTAGGTGTATTGGGATTCATTTATGGCCATTCTGAGGTTTTTTTTTCATTCTCTATTTGTTTCAATTTTTAATTCTTATAATTTATTAATCATTCAACTTACCCTAACTCTATATGGTACTTAGTAATTTTATTATTCGTTGTCAACACTTAGATATTTTGTCTCTATCTCCTTCTATTTAAGAAATTTTTTCTATTAAAAGGCACCTTAATAATAGAAAGTGGTATTACACAATAGTTTGGTCCAATAAAAAACTGTTCACTAATTATTCGAGCTTCATAAAAAATTGAAAGTTGCTCTTCCTCTACCTTCAAAAACAAAAACAAAATAAAGATAATGAGATCGAGATTGAGGCATAGGTCAGGGTCGAAGCCTGAGAGATAATAAATGAGCTCGACCAATTTGTAGATGTGTATGTTGCTTTCTCTGTCCTAGCCTATCAGATCAAGATAAAATAATAGAGTACACTCGTAGGGGGAGCTCATCATAGATGCCTATAAGCTGACCTCTCTCGAAACAATAAACAAGTTGAAGTACTGGGATAGGTGTAAAGTAACCTCGTAAGATCTTCTTTTTATCTGATTTTTTATCTAACTCTTAGCTCAATTTTGTAAAGATATTTTTCAGTAAAAATTTCAACTTCTCCATCTTTCAGCAAGAGCCAAGGCCAAAAAAGACCCAAAGTAAAAAATCTAGCTCATTGTCCCTTCTTGAGGGGGGAATAAAGTTATTAACCCTATAGGCCACGAGCTCCCTAGCTTAACATTCCTTAGCCCCTAAGAAACATAAAGCTATAGCACATTGAAATCTCTCTTTGGTAGTTTTTTTTTCTACAAAAAAATTGAAGACTGAGGCTTCTTCCTTTACCTTGAAAAATCTTGAGTCTAGGATGCTAAGGCCTAGCTTAGAGAAGATCTATACGAAATTAGAGTACACTTCAACTGATGATCCGATGAAAAACCTCGATGTGGCCAGGAGGTTTTATAAGGTCATAGTCTTTTTCATTGATGAATATTGCTTAACTCTTGTTCAATTTTTTCATCGTTCTTTGTTTTTTGTTTTTTGTTTTTAACTAAGTCTGGGCTCATCTTATGCAATCCATCAAAAGCTCACACCTCAACCAATTGAGAACAACAACTAGGCCTTTCACCACACTTATCTCATTATGGCCCACCTGTTCAAAACTAAGAATGATATAGCCATCCTAAGTGAAAAGCACCAAAAAAGCTTGGATGCTCTAGTCAATGTGAGGTTTAGCCTCAGTGTGTCCAATAAAAAAGAGGTTGACAAAAAAAAAAGGATCGACAAGTTGAAGGCTAAGCTAAAGACTGTCCATATTGAGAAGACCTTAGCAGAGTCTATAAAAGAACAAGCTAAGTTGAAACTTAGTGATATTCAGGCTAAAATAGTCAGGATGAGGTTCGAACTAAAAGCTAAGAAGAAAGAAAAAAAAAGCTAAAAAAAATCGTCAAAGAGTTTAAAGCCTCTAACAAATTCTTCAAGCTTTTAGTAGAGTTTTTTAAGGAGAATGTGCTCGGTGCCTTCGAGCTGGCTAAGGATGAGGTGCAATTCAAATTTATTAACCTCAATCTTAATCTCTCTAATATTAATATAAACAATATCAAATTGAAGCCTCATTAAAATCAATCTAATGAAGATGAAAAAAAGGGAATGATAAAGATAAAGCAATGAACACCAAGCTCGAGGCTATTTTGGGCACTAAGGTTAAGAAAGGTACATTTAAAAAGGGTCAAGCTGATATTGCTACTGCTGCTGAAAGTGTTGAGGCCATCACTACTATTGTTAATGTTGTTGATGTTTAGGATTTTTTTATTAACTTTAGTGAACTTTTATGGATTTTTGTTGAAGTATGAGGTCGAGGTTTTATTGTGACCTTGGAAAAAATTACTCTATACAACTTCTATCAATGACAATTCTTTTGTACTAACCTGATCACTAATGGAAAATTCATTACATTTTGTTTAAGTTTTAGTTCAACTTTGTTCAGTTTTGTTTAAGTTTGAGCTCGGATAGCTGCTTACGAGATGACTTTGAGACTTAAGTTTTGTGGAATTAGCTTAGATAATTTAGAATAACTCAGTAAATAGTTAATTTGATTAAAATAATTCAAAGTTTCAGCTTGGTTAGAATGAACTTAAATTCACCTAAGTCTAAGGTTAGATTCCATTAGTTCGGTTAAGGCCTGAATCTAAAGATTAAGATAAACGTTATTATGTTTTGACCTTAAATTTCAAGTCAGATATATCAAGTCAAAAACATTATTTTTAGACTGGACAATGGACATGATCATTGTCAAGTAAACATGATC